TTAAATATTATTATTAATAACTCAGACGTTATTCCCAAGATAGAAGCACTGGAACTGGTGATCTTGTTCTTAAAGACGTTATCTTTGGTTTTTTCGGTGTGGGCTTGGCTAATAACTGCAACAAACCTTTAGAAAGGGAGAACTGTGGAAAACCAATCCACATATTTTTTTCTTTTTAGCTCTGAATTCTGTTAGTCTCCTCATGAAAGAAGGTCCAAACTTCCTGTCTGGAAAGCAAGATGGGGTACTTAAAACTCAATCTGCCCCTTTTTGCAAAAGGGCAACGAAAGCAGAGAAGAGTGACCTGTGGTGCCAAGAGCAGCAGTGTGCAGCAGGGTTGTGGCTGTCCTGCAGAGTATGACAGGCATTGTCATCAACTCCTTTACTTTTCTTGAATGTCAGACAGGGAAAGCCCATTGGTAGCTGTGGAGGCTTAAGTAATCCTTAATCCTTAAGATTACTTATTGATCTAGCATGCTGAGATCTAGTTTTTCTTCCGTGGACATAGGATTGAGGAAGGTAAGAATGAATTTACCTCTTTATGTAGGAAGGTGATGTTTCAACTTACCTCATAGCAGAGCCATGCGTGTTTTCTGTGTCTGGTGGCTTTTCCAGTATCTTAAAGGAAACTTCCTTTCCATTGTTTACCATCAGATAGACTTAAAGTAGACTTATTGACTGTTTGGCCCATCTTAATTTGGCAATCAATTAAATTGGCTGTTCTATAATAGGGAGTGAGAAATACCAAAAAAATAGAATTCTGCTGGAAGCCATCTTAAGAGGGTGGGAGGAAAGCAGGTACTGAAAGATAACGGTTCTTGGCCAGGACATACCATGAACTCATGGACTTGAGTACTAAACCAACAGTGTACCTTACTTTTCTAGGCTTCCTTGGCAGAAACAGATAAAATTACCTTGGAGGTTGCCAAGCTGATAAAAGACGACTTCTTGCAACAGAATGGTTATACGCCTTATGACAGGTGAGATCTGACTGGCCACTCTGCCCTCTTGGTCCTGTGTAGTCTGGATTTAGACAGCTACTTTATTTGGAAACAGATCAGTGCAGAAATTAATTTTGTTCACCATAAACAAATGGAAGAACTGTGCTTAGGTAGGCCATCGAACAGTGTATTCACATTGTCTTACCCAAGGCATGCAGACCGTTTCCGAATGCAGTCACACCCTTTGAGTTCCTCAGGCTCTCATCTATTGTTCAGTTAGTCAGTATTTCTGCAATAGCATGTTCTCCTGTCCTCCTTAGTAGGAGGAGGAGACGACCACTTTATTTTCACATCTACACCCAAAGTCTTCCTGTTTATTCTAGCAATGCATGGGGGACTGCAAGAATCTGCTTTCAGTTACTGTTGCATAATTCTTGAGTAAGTTTGATCCATCAAAAAAACTTACTGGGTCTTTTCCCTAGTGCAATGCTTATTTTATCCTTGTCTGCTTTGCTTCTTTCCATGCTATCCTTGTGTTTTAACAGCCTGACAAGGGGCCTTTTTACTTCACCTCACTCCCCAGCCCAGGTAGATCAGGAGGTCTTGAAATACTTCATCACTAAAAATTTAGATGTACATCATTCTGCAATGGTGTGTGCCCTTGATTAGGTTACTAGGGCAGGTTATGCTTGTACGTGATAGGGAAGCACAGATAGTAGCACGATGTAGTGCGTAAATAATAATGAGGTACCTCATCTACCCATTAAAAATGGAGCTCTTTGTGTGTGGAGTGGTCTTGTCATAGAAACACTCCCTATCCTGTGAGCAAAGAAACTTGCAGAGCTGTCAGGTCATCCCAGGCTGCTTGGAGGAAGCCTGTTCCCCTGATGGACAAAACAGGAAGGAGGAATTCCGTTGGCTGCTCTGGTGTTTTCCCTTTCTCGTTAGTATTGGCACAGATTGAGATGCAAGACTTGTACAGCGATGGTTCCTGTTTTGCCCAGTGTTTGGGTGCTGCTTCAGAAACCTCACTTCAGGATGATTGCCTTAGCCTACGATTTACCTGTTTAAAAATGTGGGACCTAGTAGAGGCAGCCTCTCTCCTTTGACAATATGTATCGAAAATACCTGGAGTAAAGCAGGCTAGCGCTCTTTCTTTCGGGTGAGAATTCAGAGTTCTTGTGAAGGCAGGAGCAAAGGCTTGTCCTGTTAACTGTTCCAAGATGCCTGACAGATCCTCTTCTGTTCCATCAGGTTCTGCCCTTTCTATAAAACAGTGGGAATGCTTTCCAATATGATTGCGTTTTATGACATGGCACGCCGTGCTGTAGAAACCACAGCCCAGAGTGACAATAAGATCACGTGGTCCATCATCCGAGAGAACATGAGCGAAATCCTCTACAGACTTACCTCCATGAAATTCAAGGTATGTTTGTAAAGAACTGGGTTGCACTGCTTTTTGTGAGCTTCCAGTGCCTCTGAAAGGCTGTTACTCAAAGGTGGTCATCAGTTGCCTTAGATAAAGGTCTACAAACACAGACTTTTTGCAATCGTTTTGAATACACTTAACTAGTTTTTGATTGTGAGCACAGGACTGGTCAGTACAGAAATCTAGTTGGGTGATGCTGGCTGCAGAGCCTTGGCAACCCCACCTTCAATAGTCTCTTATGTTACATATACGCATGGTAATAGTACAAGCACCTTTCCTGTTTGTTTTGGGGGTTTTGTGATAAAATTCTGTAAAAAATTATAACATGTTCTAAGGAGACTATTAGCAGATAAAAGCAGCCTAAAGTTTAAATCCAGGAATGTGCTAGAAAGTGAACAATAGAAATGTTGATCAAGCTATTTTAAATAGAAGTTAAGGAAAGACATGCTAGTTTCCTGCAGTAATAGGTGATGTCCCCTGTGGGGAGGGCTTCAGGGCCTAAGGCAGGTGACTAGGAGGAGAGGAAGGGAGGAGTAACTTCAACATGGGCTAAAGAGAAAACAAGTGGCTCAGAGCATCTGCTCTGGGTAACTTCAGTAACCATCTTTTTAGAGTACAGCTTTCCTAAAACTCATCCGGAGCGTGCTGATTGTCCTGGTTTCGGCTGGGATAGGGTTAAATTTCTTGCTAGTGCTGTGTTTTGGATTTAGTATGAGGAGAATGTTGATAACACACTGATGTTTTCAGTTGTTGCTAAGTACCCTCCTAGTCCAAGGACAGCTCCCATGCCTACTGACTGAGCTAGGTACACAAGATGGGAGGGAACATCATCAGGACAGCCAGCTCAGCTGGCTAATGGGGTATTCCATACCATGCGACGTCATGCTCAGTATATGAATGGTAGGCGTGATCCAGGAAGTACCGATCGCTACCTGGTTATCGGTCAGCGCGGGTGGTGAGCAATTGCATTGTGCATCGCTTATTTTGTATATTTTATCATTATCATTATTATTCTCCCTTTTCTGTTTTATTAAACTGTCTTTATCTCAACTCACGAGTTTTTCTCACTCTTACCCTTCCAATTCTCTCCCCGTCCCACTGGGGGGGGGGGGGAGTGAGTGAGCGGCTGCGTGGGATTTGGCTGCCTGCCAGGTTAAACCACGACACTGATGTAGCAGTTACTGCTGTGATGCTGGCTGATGTTAAAGTAGTTAAGGAATATTTTCTCTGAAGTATGATGCTTCTTCTTTTATAACTCTTATAAGCCAATATTGCAAATCTCTCAAGAGTAAGTACCATAAGATAAAATTGTGTTTAAAATTAAGTGTTCTGGCGTGCCAAAGTATTCTATTCCTGCAGTGTACTGGCTTGTTTCTGCAGTGTGCAGATCCCTGGTATATATTCTCAAAGCACCAAAAACATTACAAGATGCATTTGGGGACATGAGCTTCTTTGAGAGCTGGTTATATAGAGATAAGGGAAGTAGTACAAACCCTGGCCACCAGAAGACATCTGGCATACAGCAGAGCGGTGGACAGCATGGCTGAAAAAGGGAATCCAGAGGGTGAATACATCTTAAGTGGGCCGGCCCTCTAATACAGTAATAGTTATGAAAGGAAAATTATATTTCCTGGGTAACAGTCAAAAGGTGTGAGAATTTAAGTGTCCTGCAGCCTGCGGTCTGTGTACTTTGGAGAGACGATGAAGAAGTAGTGCATCCACACGTGCAAGTCCTCTGTGTTTCCCAAGAGCTGCCACTGACCACTGACCCAGAGGAGCGTAGTGCTGAGAGGGGAATGGTGAAGACATTGCACAGAGTTCACAGCCTGGCAGTTAATGCTTCTTGGAGGGAAGGCCTTGCAGCCTCAGAGCAAAGCTGATTGTTACATTTTTTGCCCTTGGCTTTCATGAAAAGTATTTTGAGAAAATGAAGCTGTACAAAGATGTTTTTGAGCTTGTTATGATTGCACAATAAGATTTTAATTGGAACCGAGTGACCTCCGAGTGATGGCAAAGTAACTCTTGCACTTAGATGATGCACTGCAAAATAAACAGCAGAGCATTTCTGAGTCACAAAGATGCTTACTCTGTTTGGTTTGGGGACAGGAGCTGGTATTAATCACTGCAGCTCTCGAATCACACAGCATTAACTAAGACCCTCAGTATTATTGAATCCTCTCCAAATCAGTTGCTTTTCAGTAAAGTAACCACTGCTCACGAAAAAAATTTCCCTGTCCAGTATCCGTTCTGCCTGCTCACACAACGTGGAAAGAGGATGAGATTTAAACCTTGTGCCTGTTGGTGAGACAGACAGGAGGTGGAGATGGAGCTATAATGCCTGCTCTGCAGTTAGCAAGTGTTAATCCTGAGGTCGAGAAGTTACAGCACTGGCAAAGTAGGGTTGTCTTCAGTATCCAAGGCTTTTCCTGATGGATCTGTTCGTTTGCTGTGTTATCTTTCAGGACCCTGTCAAAGATGGTGAAACAAAAATCAAGGCGGACTATGCTCAGCTGTTTGAGGATATGCAGAATGCATTTCGCAGTCTGGAAGACTAGACTCGACCTCTGTGACCACTCCAGTTTGTCCTCTCAATTCCTCATCTCAACTCCTCTGCTTCCCTACCTTACAAGAATGATGCAACAGTACTTGAGTTGATAAATAGCCCTATGTTTTCCCTGTTCGTACTCGGAGAGTGTCCTTACAAAACATTCCTCTTAGTTTGTGTTTGGCATTGCTTTGTGCGTCTGAAAAGGTGAGTGATGTGTGAATGGGCCTGGCTGAGTGAGGAAATGCTGTTGTACACTTCTAGGGTGGGAAAAATTTCACCTTGCCTCTCCCAGCTCTCTTGGTAACCGGTCTTTCACCTTGGGATGTAACCAGTTGAGCTGTACGGGCAGAGGAGGTGTAGATCTTAATGCAGTCACGCGGTACGTTCTGAGCTGGCAGTGGTAAGGGCATTTACATCTGGCACTTTGCTAAGTGACTATCATGACGTAGAACTCCCTATTCTCAAACAGAATTTTTGACCATATTCTGATGACATGTTGATACAACCAAAAATTCTTCACTGCTCTGTCCCTTCTGCAACCCTCAGCTGAGTCTGTTGGTATTGAAATGTAGTAGTTCTGGACCCCTCCAAGAAGGGACTAACTAGAAGATGAGCACGTACAAGCAGCCAGTATACTTTTGTATACTGGAGAAATAGAGTTTTATTTTCCTACTTAATACAGATAGGACCGTTGGACTCAGCATCAGCTAAAATCAAACGCGTAGGTGCCCAGCTTCCAGCAGAATTTTACCTTCTTGCCTCCCACTCACCCCATAAAATTCCACAACACTCAGTTGCTTTAGTTTGTGAAGCTTGCGACTGCTGCCGTGTACCGCAGGACAGGCGTAGCAAGTTACGGTGATGCCACATGTGTGGACCAGGAATACAGTCCTTCCTCGGTGGTGCTCTGTCTGCCAGTGCAGTTGCCTCCCAGTGCAATGCCCAGGTCATGCTAAGGAAAGGAAAATGTGTGTTTAACCTTCCTCCTCCACCTGTGCTCACGTGGCCTGTTTGGCGGTGGCACAGAAGGTCCCCAGTTCTCGTGTATGAGACATGTATGAGACTTCGTACTACAGAACATGTGTTGCACTTCTGGGGGCGGGGGATGAACGGGGGGGAAGGTTGACAAGTACAAAAGGTATTCACTCCTGCCTTGTTGATTACAGTGCAAGAGAAACCAGTGACTGGTCTTCTGCTCCATGCTCTGGAAGCACGCTGTCAAGCAGGCGAAACAGCTGTGTCTTGGGCTTGTTTATTGGCAAAACTAGTAGGATATGAGGAATAAGCATAGAGCAGCCTTTCTGTCAAACTCCAGGAGCCCAGCACTCATATCATTGCTGCAGAGTGAGAAAGAGAAAAACGCTGGCACCCTCTCCGGTCTCTGCCTCTCACTTGTGCCAGGTGGCAGCCAGTGCTGCTTTGTCATGCAGTGCTCTGTGCCCAGCTGGGTTCCAGCTGATGTCTACTGTTTCGTTACGGCCATGACACAGTAGCTGTTGTAGGTGACACCCTGGTAGTGGCGTGGCTATGTAAGTGTTAATTCTGCGCTGAAGTATTTCCACTGGCTGCTGGCTTTGAACAGTAGTGATGCAAGGAGATCTCGTGCTACGGACCAAATGCTGCCACTTCCATTATGGTATCAACTTGCTGTTTGTCAGGGAGAGACCGGCTGAAACTTAAAGGGATTAACTATTTTTGGTTCTCCCAAAAGAAACTACTCCTCCAGCTGATATTCTGGTAGTGAATGGTTAAGTTTACAGCTCACTAAACTTCCAGTGTATGTTGCTTATTTTACCAATGAGCATGTGTGAATGAGTAGCCACCATCCAAACCCTTGCTGGATTCCTCATTGTTCGTACCCTCCACCACTGTACTATGTAGCATTTCATGCTAGAAACCAGATGTTCTGATCTCTTTAAATAGAGGATGTTATAAACTTTACAGAAGATGTCTAAGATAATGCAGTTCTAATATTTATTGTGCTGTACCTGGCCCTGAAGTGTGACCAGTTCAAACAGTTTCATATATATTTTTGTCTTTTTTTGGTTTGTGTCTGTTTTCAGTGTTGACATTCTGGTGTTCACTGTGTCCTGCAAGTCTTCCCTCCACAGCTGTGGGAGGAATTAAAAGATGGGCAGAACCCCACCACCTACTTTATCTTGTATATTTCATAATGTATGTTGCTGGAAATTGTGTAAAAAAAAAAATTAAAGAAAATGTTGAAGACAATGAGAATAAAATGGATTTAAAGTAGGTCTTTCTGTCCTGTTTTCTTCTGTCAAACCAAACTTGTGCCACAGTGGTGTACATGGCATGCTGTGCTTTCTTAAAACCTTACTTCATTTTAGGGATCTCTTTAAATTTGTAAGCAGCAATGTGGCAGGGACATTTTACCTCAGTTTTCCCATTCCTGTACCGCTTGCATCATCTCCTCAGATATTACATGAAAGGAAGAGTTACAGTGTAGTAAATATTCTCAGGGTAGAGATTTTTAGGACTACTTTACTGTAATACAAGTGTAAGCGTGAACTTGCCCTTTCACTGCTAGTAGCTGCCATGCCTGCTAACACAACAATTGTATTTGTACCATTTTATGGCACTTTGCTAAGCCTTGAAGTACTTCCCTGCCACGTACTTTATGTTGTGGAATACACCTCCTAAAATCTCAGCTGCGTGTTTCAGACAAACTGCTTTGAACTTCTGGATTGGAAGACAGGCACCACTGCTGACCACAGCCTGAAAGCAACATGTTGGCAATCCTTTTAAATAAGGAGTTGAGACCTTCTGTAAATACCAACAGATGAAGTGAGAATATACTAAAAACCTCACGATCAGGCATTTTTGTACATATCTGACTGCTGTGGAACACCTCTTTGAAGGAAGTGTTTGCTATTTTATAAATATTAGAGATACAGAAAGCTTGAATAGAGCAGATGTTCAAGTAATTCCACCGCATTACAAACAGGCAGCAGTCACAAGCTTGCTGCTGGCAACCACAGACTAGCCAGCAGCTCTCTGTGGACGTTAAGAAATCCATCAAGGGAAGGGATGAGTTCAGGTTTTGGCAGCTTGGAAGTTACCAGCTGGCAGCGTCCTCACTTCATCCACTCGACTTTTGTGAATCTGGAAGGCCGGCGTCACCCAGCGGCCACAGGAACACTGCTCACCCCGCCAGCTGAAGGAACCCAGCTTTGACGTGCACTTGGGACACAGGAGCTGCAAGGAAAACACATGACCCACTCTAAGACGCGTGCAAGTGTAGCTCTATTTCAAATGTACTTCTATGGCACATAAAATTGTGGCAACCTGTGCTGAGCCAG